ACCCCATCATCTTTGGCCGCTAGTTGGGCCCTTTTCTTCTCCAGCTGTTCTTTCCGGATTTCAGCGGCTGACTTAGGCGGAGTTTTTTCTGGAGGAACCATCTCTAATCCTTTCTCTGCAAAAAAGAATACAAAATCAGAAACTATTCAAGCATCATACAAACGACAAAAAGTGCCGGTCAACAATCAACATACGTTTGCTCCAAAAGGTGCTAAGGCCACAGGCGGAAAGGAACGCCTCGTCCTTAAGCCAATCCGGATGAGGGACCTAGTATTTAGGGACAATGACTTCTGTCCCATCATCCAGAGGCAAGGTGGTCTTCTTGAAAAAACCCGTTTCCATAATTTGGTCCCAGACCCTCTCCGGTATTCTAGGAAGGGCACACTTCTTTCCCAAGAGAGCCAGGTGTTTGTTGTAACGACGTAGGAGAAGGGGAAGAGACCATGTAAAATTTGCTCTTCCAGCTGCTCCACTTAGACGGCTTTTCCAGCGTCATCATATACTCCGGATGCGTGGTCAATGTATACCACGCATTCCAGCCGCCTGGGGCACGGCTGAGGTAATGCATATGTGCAAATGCCTCCCAGCTAGGTGTTATATCCTGCATCTCACAGGCGACGATATATCCAAGAATGTTCACCCATGAGTTGGGTGTGAGCTGCCAGACGCCAAGGTCGTAACCCCTTAGAATCGCCTTTATTGTGTTATGAAGGGGGAACCGGAGACCGGCTTTGAATGCCGCCTCATAGCAGCCGAAGTAATCATCGGAGTAATCTAAGTCGTTATCCCAGACGACGGCTGCCTCCACAGGCAGCACAACAATCTCCCATCCGGCCCCTACCGGGCGCTTTTCCAAAAACGCCGGAAGGGTGGCGTTTAAAGTTACTACGTCCCGGGCGCTCATGTGAGCCTCTGTTGGATTGTTTATTGAAGGCAACTATATGCCTCCTCATCTTCTTGAGGGGCATCTGACTCCATGGTTGACTCAGTGGAGTCGGATTGCTGGACGGTCTCCTCCCCGTCTGAACTCTCGGATTCCTCTAAGATCTCATTTCTGAGCTACTAGGTACGCCCGGCTGGTCATAAGGAACATCATGAACCGAAGCTTCGGCTGAATCACCTAAGTGGTATTCGGGGTCTACAGCTGTCCATGTAGTCCGAGCAATTATGTCCTGCACATGAACAGAGACGGTCGGATTCGCAGAAGAGTAAGGGTGGTCCAAACACCCCAGACGGCATCCCCAGTCCTAGATTCAGCCGTGTCCGGTATCCGGTCAACAAATGCCCTAGGCCGTGTCATGTGTGTGTTGGGTGAGTCCATTATTCTGTAATAAACCTATACAACCGGAAAAAACTCAAAAAAGTTGCAAGGGGCAGAGACGGTACCTTGAAGTTGTTAGAAACTCTGAAGACGGTAGACTTGCTTAAGTTAGCAGCCGGAAATCTTCTTTGTTGCTTGGAGATGCCATAGACGGTGTCCCGAACGTACCCCTTTGAAGAGCAACTGAAATTTGCAGAAGACCCAACCGTTTCTCTAAAATGTGGCTTGAAGATACCACACGCGGTAGAGACCGGCTGTGGGTGTTTTGAAAGCTAAAGAAAATAAACGGGTGGTCAGATGGTTTGAAGAATATGGCTTGAAGATGCCCTAGAAGGTAAAGACCGGCTGTGGGTATATTGGAAGCAAGAGATGAAAATTGACTAAAGTCATGCAGTACCTGAGAAAGTTGAGCAAAGAGCACTTAGACGATGTTCGGATGAGTGTGAAAAGAAGAAGTGGTTGAATGCAAAAGTAGCCGGTGTCAGAGCTTTTTCTCTCAGGAAGTTTTTGCGAAAAATTTGTAAAGTGTTGAAATGAGAGGAGGAAGCCTTCCATTTATAGGAGGAGGCAAAAGGGAACCGTCACCTCCCCTTCAAATTCAAATTCGAAATTCAAATTCAAAAAAAAAATGGAGGGAAGGAGACAAACCGTCACCTTCCCAGAATGTGACACTTGTCACAGGTGCCACGTGGCAAGCCACGTCACACCTGTAAGGGGCAAATGTTTAGGGTAAAATTACCCTATGCCATGTGGCCCAATGGCATGCTGACACATGGAAGCCTCAGAGAGGCCCAATGGGATCCAATCCTTTGCTGACATGTGGCACCGTAACCCTAATAGGGGAACTGATCCCCTTCCACTATAAATAGAGGAAAATCCTCATTTATTACATATTCATAAATACAAACACAAAAAACCGAGCAATATTAATTGTAGAATTCTCCCTAAATCAGAGAGAAAAACCTTTACTTTCCGCACATTTATACATCCGGAAACGTTCTAACTTGATTGTCGGAGGCGGAACTCCACCCAACCGGAGTTTCGTGGATTTGCAGGTACAGACGGTCAGCGCGCATTCTCGGAATTGTAACTCTCCCAAGGGACTCCAAAAACCTCGAAATAGAGATCATCCTAGAATGCAATTAGATAATCATGTTCTTACTAGTTCTAATTACATTAACTAGTGTAAAACTGTTCATATGGCATTCATAGCTAAAAATAAGCTAGGTTTTGTTGTTGGTACACTTCTTCCTCCTAATTCTTGTTCTGATGATCATCAAAAGTGGTTGAGAAATGATTATATGGTTATGTCTTAGATTCTGAATTCTATGGAGAAAAGTATTGCTGAGAGTTTTATTTTTGTTAATTCATCTACTGAATTGTGGAATCAGATTAAGGAACGTTTTGGTCATTCTAATGTACCTTAGATTTTTTAGTAACATAAAAGTTTAGGGAGTATACAGCAGAATGGTGCTAGAACTTTCAAGTATTTTGGAAGTTTGAAGAAGAGTTAAGATCACTTACAGATTCTAGAAGGTATACCAGATTGTTCTTGTGGTATTTTGAGGAGTTATAGTTGTGGCTTGATGAAGAAGATTTTGGATATTGAAGAGAGGAGGAAGTTAATGCAATTTTTGTCAAGTCTTAACAGAAATTTTGATCTGGTTAAGATAAATTTGTGGATTCTGATCCTTTGCCTAGTGTGAATAAGGTATATTACACTCTGCAACAAGTTGAGAACCAGCATAAATTGACTACTATTACATCTAGTTTTGAGACTAATACTTTACATGCCATGAGAGGTCCTACTAGACCTATGAATCAATCTCAGAATGCAATTTATTCTCAGAATCCTATGCATCTGCTTGCTTAATACCAGAAGAAAGATTTCAAGAAATTCAGGTCTGACAATCCATAAGGAAAATTTGCTCCTAAAGTTGCTGCAAATGTTGTGTTAGTCAATCTAGCCACAACTGTTGAAAATCCTACAATGAATCCACAATTAATATCTACAGTCTACAATGAAGTCATGAGGATGTACAAGCAGAATAACTAAGGATGTGTTGCAGATACTCCATTAGCAACAACTATCTCAGCAGTCAATTTTGCAGGTATATCTAACACTTCAAATGCTTTTCATATTAGCAACATGAGTTGGATAATAGATACAGGAGCTTTAGATCATATGGCTTTTTGTTTGGCTTTATTTGCTTCATTAAATAGTCTAAAAAACACCTATAAAAGTTGGTTTGCCAGGTGGTTATTGAAACTTGTCACTCAGATAGGTGAAATCAATTTGACACCTGATATTCTTCTTAAGAATGTCTTTTATATACCAGATTTTATACACAATTTACTTTTAGTTGGAAAGTTGCTTGATGATAATCACTTGGTTTCTTTTTTAAAAAAAGGATAAATGTCTTTTTCAGGACCTTACATCTAAGGAAGTGAAAGCTATTGGTACAAGACATTATGGACTATATAGTTTTTCTAATGATGTTGCAAATTCTATTCCCAGTTCTATTCCACTTTGTAATCAACATGTTCTGAATGTTGAGAACTATGCAATTTCTTCTATTTCGGCTATTGTAAACATGAATGTATTTCATTGTAGACTAGGGCATGCTTCTTCTAGCAAGCTTAAACACTTGTCAAGTTTGTTTGTCAATAATGAAAAGTGTGATTTAGATTGTGAAGCTTGTAATTTAGCCAAACATCACAAATTCCCTTATCCTGTTTCTATTTCTCATGCTGCTCATGCATTTGATTTGTTACATATTGATCTTTGGGGTCAATTTAGAACTCCCTCTCTTAATTGAGCTACTTAATTTTTGACAATTGTTGATGATCATTCACGAAATACTTGGGTTCATTTGATTCACCAATAATGCTCAAGTGTATTATGTTCTTAAGTATTTCTTAGCTTATGTTGAAACTCAGTTTCAACAGAAAAGTTAAGATTTTCAGTTGTGATAATGGTACTAAAATTGTACAAGAATCATGAGCTATTTTGTTCCTGAGAGAGGTATTGTTCATCAAAAAAAGCATTCTAGGAAATCCTCAATAAAATGGGAGAGTGGAGAGAAAAGCATTTAGGTGAAACAGCTAAAGCACTTAGATTTTCATGCAAATTTGCCTCAGAAATTTTGGGGTGAGTGCATACTTGCAGCTGCTTATCTCATCAATTTTCTTCCTAGCTCGAGGCAATAAATGACCTTGAGACTCACAAGGTAATTCTGAGCAAAGATGTCATTTCAAGGAGCCTATCTTTCCTTTTAAGGATCAGTCTACAGTTATAGATACTTCTATTCCTATGTTTCCTTTGGTCAATCCTGCATTAGTACCTAACAACTCACAACTTGATTTTGATGCTTCTCATCATGACTACCCTCTTATTTCCACTCCAAATTATGTTTCTGTTCCTAACAGTCCCTGTTCTATTCATGTTCCTGTCAGTCCTATTTCTGAACCATCTTCTCCTGGTATTACTTCTGGTAATTCTCCAGAAACACCAGTTACTCCTCCTCCTATTTTAGAAACAAATCTTGTTCCTGAATCTTTTTCCAGCTCCAATAAGAACTTCTACTAGGATAAAGCTTTTCCTAAGAAATATGATGGGTTTATTGTCAATAAGCCTAAGACATTTGCTCATCTTGCATCCACTGAGTCTACAACTATTATGGACATATTGACTGATCCTTTCTTTTCTTCCATTCTTGATGATTCTTTACTTTCTTTGGAAAATATGCTAAATTCAAGCTCAGAACCTTCCTGTTATAATGAGGCAAAGTATAATCTTGAGTGGATTATTGCTATGAATAAGGAGTTAGATGCACTTGAATTGAATAAAACTTGGGAAGTTAATAATTTACCTTCTGGTAAATCTGCTATTGGATGTAAATGGGTTTATAAAACCAAGTTGAATCTTGATGGTACAGTTGAAAGAATACAGCTAGGCTTGTAGCTAGAGGAGATAAATAGTGGAAGGAAAGGATTTCAAGCACACCTTTAGTCCTGCTACTAGGACTTGGGATATATAACAGTTGGATATAAATAATGCTTTTTTGCATGGTTACATTGATGAGGAAGTTTACATGAAGCCACCTTTGGATTATAAAGTTGAACCAGGAAAGGTTTGCAAGCTTAAAGGGTCTCTTTATGGTTTGAGACAAGCTTCTAGGTGTTGAAATGTTGAACTTAGCAATTTTTTGATTAATCTAGGGTATGTTCAATCAAAGCAAGACTACTCTGTGTTTATCAAAGGTGTTGGTAGTTCTTTTACTATGATAGTGGCATATGTAGATGATGACTCTCTTGAAATTTCTTCTACAAAGTCAAAGCAGGATTCTGCCTTTACTATCAAAGATCTAGGCTCTTTGAAATATTTTTTAGGGATTGGTTTCCAGAAATAGTAAGGGCATTCTTCTAAGCCAAAGGAAGTATGTACTTGATATGCTTCAGGAAACTCAACTTGAACACTGTAAATCAGTTGACTTTCCTTTTCCCAGAGGTGTGAAGCTTAGTGCATTTGATGGTGATTTATTACTGGATCCTGAGACATATAGAAGAATGGTTGGTAAATTTCTTTATCTGAATATGACTCGACATGACATATCTTATGTTGTACAACAACTTAGCCTATTTGTCTCTTAATTAGAGAAAAAATTCCGTTTCTTAATTAGAGAAAAAAATCCGTCTCTAAATTAGAAACGGAATTGAAAATCTGTCTCTCAATTAGAAAAGGATTTTTTTTCCGTTGCTAAATTGAGATGGATTTTTTTTTTCCGTTGTTGATATGAGCGACGGATTTTTAATTCTGTCACTAAATTATTTTCGAAACGAATTATGTAAACTAAAATCCATCTCTAAACTAGAAACAGATTTTCAAATCAGTCTCTAAACTAGAGACGGATTTGAAAATCCATTTCTAAACTAGAGACAGATTTTAAATTCTGTCTCCAATATTTCTTTCACTTATTATCAATTATGTGCGTAGAAGTCAACAAATAATATTTGGTATAGTTGGTAAGAGTTTCACTATGTGACTTTGAGGTCACAAGTTCGACTCCTACCTATTGCGATTCCTGAGATGTGAAATCCAAGGAGCCTTACATGCAAAGCCGAGTCAGGTTGACCCGAGTGAGGTCTAACCGAATAGCATCTACTTTTAGACATAAAATAATTTTTTTCCGTTGCTAAATTTAGAGACAGACTTTATATTTCCGTTGCTTTTAGAGACGGATTTTTTTTTTTCCGTTGCTGATATGAGCGATGGAATTTTTTTTCCGTTAATAAATATAGAGACGGATTTTTTTTTCCGTTGTTAATACCAGCGACAAATATAATAATCCGTTGCTAAAACCATCGACCGAAATAAAAATCCGTTGCTAAGTTCAGCAACGGAAAACAAATACAACGTCGCTAGTCTCATTTAGCGACAACAGTTTTTCCAATGGAGTAATTCCGTTTCAAAATCTGTCACTACCTATATTTAGCGACAGAAAAAGTACAATCTAGCAATGGATTTGATTTGTTGCTAAATGTCTATTTTTTCTATAGTGGGTAATTGAAAGATACATTAAATTTGGGGCTTTTCTATCCTTCCTCTTGTTCTTTAGAGCTTACTGCATTCAGTGATGCTGATTGGGGAAATTATGTTGATACTAGTAGATCATTGACTAGATATTGCATCTTTCTTAGTTCATCACTTATATCTTAGAAGACTAAGAAACAAAAAATTGTTTCAAAAAGTTCCACAGAGGCAGAATACAGGTCTATGAGTCAAACTGCTAGTGAGATTGTTTGGTTGAAGAGAATCCTGAATGAATTGAAGATTGAAGTTCCTACTCCTATTTCTTTGATATGTGATAATAATTTAGCTAAACTTATTGCTGAAAATCCTTGTTTTCATGAGAAAACAAAACATCTCAGAACTAAACATCAGAAAATGGATGTTCATTATATCAGGGAACAAGTACAGGAAGGTTTGATCAAATTGTTTCACATCAAGTCTGCTTCACAAATAGCTGATATTATGACAAAAGCACTAGGAGCTGATCAACATAGAAATCTTTATACTCAACTAGGATTAGTTGTTAGTTCAGGCTTTCAAGATTGGCCTGGTGTTAGTCACCCCACTCAATCTTGGAGGGGGGGGGGGGATGTTAAATGTAGCTCATGTAAGTTGCTTCACACGCAATATGCATGATGCAAGTTGTTATTATTACTTTATTAATTTTGTTATTCTGTTAAAAGTTTGTAAGGAATTTCTAGAATTAGTTTGTTAGAATCTTTTATGTTATGATGTCATAATATCTATATATACCTTTGTATTATCTCTTTTGTTTTTCAGAGCATTCAGTTAATAAAATCATCAAAATTCTTTCAATTCTCTCTCTCTTTCTTCCCTGTATTTCTCTGTTCTTCGTTTCTCAATATGGATGCTCTGATTTCCACCACCATGCATCACCCAAACAACAACGACCATCAATAACCATTTCAAATTAAGGTCACGTGCATCTCAAATCAACAGCTGAGATGAAGAGCGATTGCGCGCCCGCAAAGACACCACGCTACGGCGCGCGAAGTTCCTGCCTCAAGAATGACATCCTTAACATCTCTGTACGCGGCCGTGATAAACTCGTGGAATTGGATGCGCGGCTGTGAACAATTAGAATCAAATTGGGGCTAAATTGAGGTTCGTTTATGTGGCGGCTCGGGGTTGGTGCTTAGTTTGGGTGGCTAAAGCGGTGTGGTTTTGAAGTGCGGAGCTGTTACGGGATGCTGTTGGTGCCAATTAGGGTGGGTTTTGCGGGGTTTTGGTGGCTGGAAATTCAGGGGCTAAGTTGTTGTGCAAATTATTGGCGATGGTGGTGCAAATGGTGTAGTGTTGCTAGCTGGCTTGGTGGGTGAAGGATAGGAAGTGGGCAGCAAAAGATGCTTGGATGCCACCAGTGCATAAATAAATGATTTAATATCTTTTATTTTATTGTGGGTAGCTATGAAAGGTCAGTTTATTTTTTAATAATAATTTATTTTTGTGGGTAGTTATGATAGGATAGATTTTTGTATTGCACTTAATTTTTAAATGTGGGATAAAAAATATAATCTTTCAAATGTAGAAGGGCATTTTAGGAAAAGCAAAATTTATCAACCAAGAGCTCCTTTCTCTTTATATAATACTACAGATATGAAGTAATGTTTTAATGACTTGTGTTTACTTGCAAAATTAAACATATGCAATACTTCTCATTATTATGCAAAAAAGGTCATAATTTGGTTGGTTTCAAACGCCATCAACAACCAAATTAGGAGAAAATCAGATTTTTGACTTTTTATTGACTTTTCTTGACTTTGACCAAGCGAATTGGGTCTTCGAGTAAGTACAAAGCTTTCGGGCTAAACTGGTAAAGATATAATGAGAATTTGGCTAATATCATCCAAAGTCCCTTTATTAAAAAAACCAGTTTGGAGGTAAAGTGGGTAATTCAATTTTTGAAGAGAGTTGCGCCAAGAGGCATAACTGCACAACAGTTATGGGGGTCAGCCATAACGCTCCAGTTTTTCATATAGATAGAAGCGTAAAGATCAAAAGAAAGACATTAGCAAATCAGTCAACAACAAGCATTTCATTTCTTGTAAGCTTTCTTCTTAGCTTTCGTAGTTTCCCTTGGCTTAGTAGCCAAGTGATAGTTTAGTTTTCTCTTAGCATGTAATGAAGATCGTTCGTCTTTTCCAATTATATGATCATGGAGGTAACCTCTCCTTCAACTTATACAATTGTAGACCTAACACTATCCTTTAATTAATGGAATGTGATTAGGGAAATTTTCCCCGCCACGTGGACCAATGAAGCCCTGCCACGTGTCATCCGCGTGGACCAACTGGAGCCCGCCACGTGTCACCTCGTGAGTGGTCCAAGGTGGACCAATCATGTCACGACACGTGGCAGAAAAATTGCCAACTAGGAAAGTGGCCTCCTACGATCCAAATTCCTAGGCAAGGCCCAGTGAGCCCTAGGTTTACACAAACCTAGTATTGGGCACGTTTTCCAACACCCTATAAAAGGGAGATGTTTCCCTCTGTGGAACATCTATTCAGAAATATTTAATTCATATTAACTCTCCATCAGAGAAAGTCAGACACCTGACACCTCGAACTACACAATTACACATTGCAGATTCTCTCTTGGAATCCGAGAGAGACCCTTTACTTTCCGCACTTTACTCCTCATACACGTTCTAACTTGATCGTTGGAGGCGGAACTCCCACCCACCGGAGTCTCCGTTGTTTTGCAGGTACAGGCTTCTATAAGTCAGTCTTGGAATTGTAACTCTCCGAAAGACATAAAAAAACCCCGAAACATTTGGCGCCGTGTTTGGGGAGAGTACTTCAAAGATGACTTCACAAGAACCTGTACCACCTCTTAATGAGAAACGGCCTATGGCCGATGTCTAGGTCTACTTAGATCAGGATACTGATGACGACTTGGAAGTCCCCACCCATACGGCCCCTGACGGGTCTCTCAGGACACGGCGCATCCGTCCCACCGAAAGGAGGGAACGGAACACTGACCAGGTAGGCCCTAGTAAAACAGTCGGCCAGCCGGCAGGTCAGCTCCAGGTGGCCGAAGGATCCACCCCCATTACTAGAAATGAGCTCATGACTCGCATGACAAGTTTCAAAGGGGAGATAAAGGATCTGATTGTTAAACGGACGACTGTCCCTACCAAGGAACAGTCAGCCAAGAAACCCTCTCATCCTAGAGGAAAAAGCCAGTCAACGACCGAGAGGCCACTACTTACCCTAGTCCAAGTAGGGACGGAAGCCTTTGATAAACTTGGCTGGACTTCGGTTCCCTGAGCCAGGGCAGAGGAAGGCCGTCCGGCATATACAGCCGAATGGTTCCAAGAAACATATTCCGATGCTCGGATGATAATCCAGCAAAAGAAGAATATGCAACTGTCAGAGTCGGCCTCAACATCGAACTTCAATGAGAGCTTCCAGAATACCTCAATGAAGTATTCTTAATCAAACCGAGAGGAACAGACATGCGGCATGTCCGCTCACTCCAGCCCTCAAATGTTCCAGGCGGCTCGTATGCGCCTCAACAGCTATACCTACCATATGGACAACCCTATATGCAGCCTACTCTCTTCGGAGGGAAGGCGACACCTAATGTCCAGCCCTTGGACTGGCAGCTCCGACTACTAAGACTTGGGGAACAACCCTCAGCTTTCTCCAAGGAAATAACTAAGGCCGCACAGTCGACCAAGGTGAATAATGTGTTGGTAGGAACCTAGAAGACCACCTGATGGCATACACCAACCTTATGTATCTTCAAGGGTTGGATGATGCCACGTGGTGTAGATGCTTCCTAGGAACATTCAAGGGCGTCGCCCAGCAATGGTCGGCAACCTGCCAGCCAGATGCATCAATAACTTTAAGACGCTTGCAAATTTGTTCGCGTTAAACTTCTCAATGAATATCCCTGCAAAGAAGACAAGTCTTGACTTGGGAGCCATACAGTAAGGAGAGAAGGAGGGGTTGCGCTCATATATCAGGCGATTCAATCTGATGAAAATTCAGATTCAAGGGTTGTCTGATGAGGTAGCTTACATAGACTTTTTCAAAGGTCTGAAGGACGGTTCGGCCTTCAAGTTCGACCTCGTCAGAAAGAGGGTGGCTACCCTCCAAGAGGCACTAATGGAGGCGGACGCCTATATACAGGCGACCGAGCTCTGCAACATCAGTAAGCAGTCGGACTCAAAGAGGTCTGACAGAAAGGAGAGTCGTCCATCACAGCCGGCTAAGAAAGAAGAAATGAAAAGAAATCAAGTCTAGGTGGCTGAATCCTCTGAACAGCCGTCCTAGAAGAAAAAGAGAGAAGCGAAGACGTACTCTCCAAAGTACGAATTCAATAAGGACTGCTTGATAGGCGGCCGCACACCTAACAAAAATAACCTAACTAAACCTCCTAACTATGTAGTAGGGTAAGTCAGGGTCGATCCCACAGAGACTATGGTTCACCTGAATTATCTAGACTCAAGTTATTACTAAGCAAGAATCAACAATGGTGGAATAAACTAAAGCTAAAGTATGGAAAACTAGAACATATTGAACGAATATGAGAAATCAATAAACTAAAACATCCAAGATCAAGTATCACCACAATTACAATCGATGCAATTATATTTCTACTCCTAACATACGATTCCAATCAAATGGGGACAAGTAAACCCTAATCAATACCAAGGACCTCTCTCGAGTATCAATGGTTTCCCTAACATACAATCAAGCCTATTCTCATGGTATCATGCAAATTAAGGACATTAAACACTTTAATTCACGTCCCAATAATCAACCCAACTATTCTCATGTTGAATCTCAAACCCTAAATTGATCTACCCAATTCCGTTTAAACCCAACTCTCGTTGTGATAGAACAATGGAATAATAACAATACTAATTATCTCTAATCTAGTATTGGCATAATCACAATCAATTTAGCATAAGCAATTACAAAAGTCATTAGAGAATTTAAGGAATTAATTCATGCATCAATCATAATTGGGCTACCCTAGATCTTGGAATAAGGAATCTACTCACTCATAATGAAATAAACAATACAAAAAATAATTAAAGAAAACATAATTAAGAAATAAAAGATGAAAAGAAAATACAGAATCTTGAATTAAATGGAGAATTGAAAGTAGAAATCTTGAATCTTGAATTAAATCTAAAGCAAAATAATGGAGAGTACTAGGTTTTAACAATGTAAAACTAGACTAATAAAAACTTAATTATGAAATAATACCATACTTAGTATTTATATACTCCTAGAAAGATAAAAACGCTCAAAAGACTTGGCGCATAATTCTCCCAGGAGGCACGGACATGCCTACAAGAGGCACGGACGTGCCTCAGATCGAGTGCTCATAACCTTGTCTTCTAACTTCCAGGCACGGACGTGCCTCTTGACGAGTGTAATTCTGCAGTCTTGAGTCACGGACGTGCCTCTGCTAGGCACGGACGTGCCTAATGTCGTAGCTCATAGCCGTGTAAATTGACTTGGAGGCACGGACGTGCCTCACTCAAAAAGTCCCTAAATAGCTCGTTCTTCAAT